AAATTGTTTCAAAAATCAATGTGATTGTATGGGAGTTGTGATTATATAGGAGGTGATTATAGAGGAGGAAGACTGTACATACTTCTTTGAATGATTGCAAATTTCATGCACATTTTTTGCCTTTATTCTAATATCATAAATTAATATTTATTAATTATAAATAAATTAAGGGATTTATTTTATAGTGCTATAGCATTGTAGTGCTATAGCACTATAGTGCTATATTTTTAATATAATATACAGTATATATATTTTATATTAAATAGTAATTAATATTTTATACAGTATATAGTATAATATACAGTATTTTTCATAATAATCTAAAAATCCCATTGGCTAATTACTGTAATGCACTGACTAAAGTACCCGGTGTGACACAAGTTTTACATAGTGAAAAATTAAACATCACGTGTATTACACAATTGTTTACATCACATGTTACATATAAATAATATTGTAAAAAATTGATCTGCATTATTTGTCACATCGGACGATCCATGATATTAAATACAACCATACTTAGAGACAGTGCAAATTAATATGTACAATTAGTACTGTTCGCAAATTTCATAACAGCAAAATAGAAATAGAAACTTTATAATAATACGACATTTACATAAATTGTTATTCTTATTAGCTTAGCGAATAAGTGATATTAATACATACCTATTCCCAAAAGTGCCATTACCATAGCCACGTCTTAATAATCAGCAGTATATTGCTTTGTTACATAGTTCGTTTTAGAAATTTTTCGTGATAATAAAGCTGCAAGAAATTAATGCAGTGATTGTTACGTCTTATTTTGGAGGTCGCCCCGGCTAATTCAACTAATTAATTATTGAAGTATAATAATAGTCGACATGATTGCACAAACTATAAGATTCGAATACTATAATAGACTCCCCGAAGGCACAAAATTCATATATTAATGAACACAACAATAGCTAACATATCTACCCTAACCTTAATTCTAACTTTAATTCTGGCTATCGTTGTATTCATAGTATATATATCTGTTTGTAATATTGTCTTTTGTCACCTAGTATCGCTTAAAAAATGCTGTGCTATATAATCTCATAATGTCTAGTCTAAATGTTATCAATAAACTTTAAGAAATGTTTTAGTTATCATGTGAGCAACATTTATTAGGCGATACTGCAGTACTGGGAAATATTTCATTATACATACTAAATTTTTATCACAATTTACATTAATATTACAAACAAAACATACAATGTTACCATTTAGAGAACTAAAAAATGCATTACGTGCAATTTAAATTCTAGAAAGTTTGCAAATTAATACGTAACACCAAAAGAAACCAGATACATAATCATGACATTTCTGGCTTACTTTGATGCTATTTATATACAACACAAAATAACTACATACGTATAATACTAGACAACTACATAATATAAACTTATTGACACCTCATAAGTTGATGATACCTGTTATTTTTGTCTTTGAGAACAAGTTGCTCGATTATGACCAACACCTCCACAAATTTTACAATGTAGTTTGCGTTTTGCTCTTTTTGGTGGCTCATTTGCACGCCGCATTCTATCTGTACCCTTCGGCCATCCTTTTCCTTTACGTTTACGAGGATTTACTAACTCTTTTGGATCTATCATTCCTTTTTTGGATATACTATCTGACTCAACTTCATTATTTGAATCTATCTCACTATCATTACTATTGCTATCACTATTAGAAGATATTTCTTCCTGACAATTATCCAAATATTTGTCGAGGATCTTAATAAAATTGTAATCATATCGGCGAACAGCCACCATTAAAGCTGCTCTTGCTTTACCCCATGCCTCTCTATATAGTTTACGTTCATCCACAATTTTACGATTTCTATTTTGCACTTCATACGTAGTATCTTGAACTAAAGCATTAAGATAAGGGACTGAATTTCTACAACTTATTTTTACTGACTGTTCTGTCTCAAATTTTTGTGCAATTAGAAATGGTTCTTGCTCTGAGTTATTGCTAGTTTTATTAAACCATCGTGACTGTATTAATTGAATATGAAATGTTGCAGTTGGTGTACATAGCATAACTTGAAAGAAATGTCGACATATAATTCCACGGTTACAGTGGTCAAGACACGAGCATAAATGAAACCCATTATCCAAGAGTATTACAAAATGTCGTATGTCATTTGATGTAACATGTAGAATTTCCCACATTTCAATAATATTATTCTCATTAACAAGATTCAGCATCGCTTTGGCAATAATATCAGTATAATTTTGGTTTTCAAATATGGCAGGATCATTAAAATTGATCTGCAATTAGTTGATATATTTAGCTTTAGTATTAACGTTAATGGTAAGCATTATTACTTAATGTACTTTTTTAGAATACTTACTGCATGATATCTTTGTAATTCACTTTGTGTTACTATTACAGCATGATATTGCAGCGATTGTTTTATTTGATCCTCCTGAATCTTTAATATTTCCACAGTTAAATGCTTTCGCAACATTTCACAAACGTTTGGAAGAATAGTACTGGCTGTCGCAACTAAGGCAGCTTTAGGAATTGATGCACGAAATAAAGCATAATCTGTTTTTTTATCTTCCTCAAGAACGCAAGCCGTTAACTTGTCTACAAGCTCTAATATTGTTGTATTAGAATTAAAAATTAGCCTTTTAAGTTTTGAATTATAGCTTTCGACTCGAGATGTCGATGACATTCCCGCTGTAAATAGTTTGAGTACGAATGCTTTGGCCCATGATTCTTTATTATTGTAAAGCCGCTGCAAATAATTAACTACATTCACATTATTATACTTTTCAAGCAGTAATTTCCATCGATATTCGAAAATTGGAACAAATCCGATTTGCTGCACTTTAAAGAAATTTTTGACAAACTCATCATATTGGTCTTTTAGATGATTTTTGAGATTGAAAGCGATATTCTGTGCAATGTGAAACATACAATGAAGTGCATTTGTAGTAGGAAATTCATCTCGTATAGCAGCAACTAGAGCGGGATCGGCGTCAGTAAAAATAACCCGTGAAATAGCACCATGTGTTGCTTTCTTAATTTGTTGTAATATCCAACTATGCGTCTCTTTGGTTTCATCGTCTGTCAATGCCTGTGCCACTAACCGGGAAGACAAATGGTTGTCAACCACCAAAAAAAGTGACAATGCCATTTCATAACGATTAGTAGCACTAGTATTGTCATTCAGAACAACGTCACAATATTCTAACCATTGTTCAATTTGATCTGGAGACATATAGAACAATCGTCTAAGACACTTGCTGTTTGGATCCCAATCAACCTGAACATACCACCGGGGATCAGCCTCCTTCTTATTTAGCAATTCTTCATACAATTTGCTAACATCATTTGTTTGATCATGTAGTTTAGGACGAAACCGTTGAATCACTCGGCGTAGTACTGGCATATAGATCTTGATGAAATATTTTTCTTCCAAAGCTTTGCGAACTTGCTGAGGACTACAATTCATAGTTTTTACATAAAATTCAACATCCTAAATCATCTCTGTGATAAACTCTATATTTTCCTGAAAATTGTAATGCGATAGGTCAAGGTCATGATTTTTATGCTCATCAACTAATTTGGTAATGTATATGATCTTGTGGGGATTCTCTTTCTCTGGGCATGACAAATTTATTTGCCAAGTACATCCAATACGCTTAGACGTAGTTTCTTTTTTTGGATCCTTGCTTTTCATTATTTCAGGTTGGCCAAAGTGTTCACAAACTAACGTACGTCTTCGAATATCACTATTCTTAGACTTTTCTACACGATAACAGCGCATTCTAAATCCCTGCTCTTTTTCATACCTTTTAACTTCTTTCAATGCATGGTTCCAGTCATGAAAAATCATACCTTCTCGCAATTCACCATATCAATTGTTTTCAACATCCTCTACATTATTGCGTTCATATTCATTTTGAGTTATATCACATAATACATTACTACTAACATTAAATTCAACATGATTATTATTGTATAATATATCAAACTCATTATCCACAGAATTCCAGTCACGGAAGGTTGCATTTGCCGGAAGTTCCTCCTGGTAAGCACATGAATTAATTATAAAATTGTTTTTCGTTTGATTTTGATTCCCAAAATTAAAACCAATTTGGTAATTTTCACATAGTTCATCGATTCTATTAGCCATAAGATTCCAGTCCCAAGATGCCATATTTGTTTGGGCGTCTTCACGGTAGGTACTTTCAGAATTCATCATAACATTAGTTTCGTATTCAATTTGGTTATCATTATATAAAGCGTTGTTACTAATGCCAATTTCGTTTATTTCATTGTTCTAATCACCAAACATCATATTTGTTTGAACGTTCATGTGGTATTCGATCTGATTAATTTTTAATACGTCATTACTATTTGCTTGAACGTTCATGTGGTTTTCGATCTGATTAATTTTCAATACGTCGTTGCTATTGTCGAGTTCAGCTTGGTTACGATGTTTCTTCTTGAGGGGTATCAAACATGATAAAATAGAAAAAGTAACCAAACTTTATTAATTTATTGCTTATTTATACTGATCGACATATTTTATTAAACTTTCTAATTACATCATAAAAAGGATCGCACTATGGCGCTATAGTAATATAATTTATTAAACTTTCTAATTACATCATAAGAAAAGATCGCACTATGGCGCTATAGTAATATATTTATTAAACTTTTAATTACAAAAGATCACACTATGGCACTATAGCACCAAATGCTATAGTACTATATTAATATTCCCATAAATTAATATCTAGTTAAAAATTATATACTTTATCAGAATCTTTCAATTCAGAATCTTCTGAATTATCACTTTCTTCAGAGCTTGTTTCGTCTTCAGAATTGAGTAGAGAAAACACTTTACTATTTTCTAATATTTTCTAAATATTTAAATAAATTAATAGGCAATCCACCTGAGACTGGACAAAAATTTTTTTTTATATATAAATTTTACTATAAGTGCGAATGTGCAGCACTCTATCTAAAATGTTTTTTTTTACTAAATAAATCACTCTTGAGCTTTTAATA